TGAACGGTGCGGCCGACTGGAGCAATTACTAACGGAATATTGCAATCATTACGTCTCTATCTGCCGCGCTGTGCGGATCTCTGCCAACCGCGCTCGACCTCCCCCCCCCCCTCCCCGCCGCCGCTTTCAAAAAAATGATCGGGCCGGGGTGGCGTGTATCGGACGGGGTGTGCAGGAGGGGTAGGGTAGGTAGACAACCGCCTCGGCGTCGCAGATCGAAAATCATTCGCGGAACGCCGCCAATCAAACCGTTTCCACGTGAAACTTGATTTCAACTTCCCTCCGCCTCCGCGTGGATCCTCCTCCCCCGACCACCCGCGCCGCGCGAAACGACGACAACCACCGACGAGCGGCCGGTAACGGATAGTTTGGCCGACGCGCGCCTCTATTCTTTTTTTTTTTTTTTCGCGTTCCGTCGGCTCCATTTGTTTCGCGATTTCGATACAACCGCCGTTGTATATACTCGATGGGAGCCGATAACCGGACGCCCGTCCACCGCTTCCGTTTGTTCCTGTATCTCGCGGTGTCGAGTGACGAGATTTTTTCCCCCCCTCCAATCGATTTCGCCCCTCTTCTCCCTCCTTTTTTATATTTGCGTATTAATTTCGGATTTGGGGATCAGCCGGTGTTTGAAACGGAAGGGAGGGAAGAATTCGGGAGAGGATGAAAATCGAAGTTGAGGAGATTGTTGGTGTTTTGCTCGAGAATTTTGGGAATTAGAATTTTTCGATCGAATCTTCGTGTCATGAGAGATTGGGTTTTTGGAATTAGGTTGTTCCTGGCGTTGGTCGATTTGGAAATGATGAAGAAGATACATGGAGAGAAAAGAAATGAGAAAATTTGATAAGATTTTTGAATCGATTCGTTTGGAAACGATGTTTCTATTTATACACATCGTATCGGGGAACTGGTGATTATATTCCTTCAATAACGAAAAGGAAATCAATCAATTTTTCATGCGTGAAAGGTATTTCCATATTAACTACTTTATTATGAATATAAATATATTTAAGTGTCTATAAGCAGAAACTTAAATGACTTCTCTAAACGGCATGAAAATGCTACAAATGCTAAATATAGAAAAGAAAAAAAAAAAAATTCGTCGAACAAGAAGGCAAAAAACAAAAGCAAATAATATTAAGCCATAAATTTTCTTCTCCTTACATAAAACAAATTGACTTTTCCTATAGCTTAAAGCCATTTCAACATTATTATTAAGATTATGTTTCTTTTATCCTACACACGTTACCTCTCTGCCTCTCATTCCTCCTTGAACGCTATAATATACGGACGAAACCAAAAAAAAAAAAGGAAAAAAAAGGGAAAGAATAAAAACAGACATCAACGAAAACACAAATAAGAAACGGTAGTATTTTTTTTTCCACGCACGAGTCAAGTGCAGGAAAATTACACGCGACGTCCTTATATTATTATTACATTATTATTTACGAATCTTGAAACTTTGAGATCAAACATGGAAAAAATCTCTATTTCCATGATGCAATTACCACGAGATCAGAAGACGTCCATAGAAAATCCTGTCCATAATAATTCGCAACCTGATCCACGATACACGACACAATGTGCTGGTGAAAAGCGCGCGAATGTCGCTAAATACGATACGAGAGATTCTCGTGATAAATATCCAAATATCTATCGGTGTTTTCACGCTGTCGATAGAACGTCGTTCATTTACTAAACGGCCGCCTTTTTAAATGAACGATATATCTCAACGAATGGCCGCCTCTTATCTGCACCGATTATGATTGCAAATCGATAACATGGGCTGTAAGAATGTGAGTAGATGCACGTAGTGCACGACTCGCGTGTGCTCTCCGGTAAATCGTGAGAACGGCGATCTCTCGAATACAACGATACGCGCCATTTATCGGATACCCCTTTTGTATCTCTCCCCCCTTTTCCACGTCTCGTTATCCGATAATGATTTCTTATAGCTCGAAAAATCGTGGCTGGCTCGCCGCGATCGAACGTAGTTTATGCAAATGTCTGGCACCGTTCCCACGGTGATCCACGAACATCGCGGTAACAATTCGATATTATCTTATCGAGGATCTATCGAACGCGCGGAGACGTTTAAAAATATTTCGCTGGAATTTAATCGCATATGCGTCGCAATGCGTCTCTTCCTCCCAAAGCAAAACAAATTCTTCTTTTTTTCTTTTTTTTTCATGGCTTTACCACCGACTTTTGTTGCGTGAATTTTTAAATATCTATTTTCATTTTAATTTGTTCGTGTAACGCATATTCGGCTGCCTTTTGTCATGTTAATAGTTGTGACGCGTTGCAATATTTGTCGAATATATTCCCCCTTTATTTGTTTATAGAGAAGAAGTGATCGTAAATCGGTTAGTTGAAACTAAGCTTATTTGTGCCCTGATAAAATTATTATTTAACGCGTAACATGTATATAATATTTTTACTAATTATTAATAACTATAATTATCGTATACCGTAGAGACAATCGTCACAAAATCGTGCCCTCTATAAAATTCTCTTATTATATCAATGGTTAACGACCCGAGCGTTCGTTCTTTCGAAAGAATTTATTCGCGCGTTAATCAGTCCAGAAAATATACAAAATACCAGCGCGGTTCTCTTTCGTAACGGGCCGACGCTATTTTTGCGTTTCCACAAAACGCGTACCGGTTTATGCGGTCCGCGCTACTCCGAAACGCATGATTTACATCGAGCGAGGAACGTGCCAACAGCTGATTCCCTGACACGCTTCTGTCTGAATCTATTAATGCGTAGGCATCGCGAATGACGCGAATAAGGGGCGCGCCTCGTTCGATAAACCGTGCCCGACTACGTCCTTCCCTCTCTCCTCGATCTCTTTCTTCCTCTTCTTTTCTTTTTTTTTCTCTCCCCTCCTCGGTAAAATCTCGAAAACTTTCTCATAACCACGGCCGGGAAGAAGTTTCGTACTTTTTATCGGTCACTTCTTCGAGTTCTCGCGGGAATTTAATTTCTCTAGTTTTTTTTCTTTCTTTCTTCCGCTTCCCTCCTTCTTTCGAAGCGGCGAGGATGGAATGCGATTGAGAAGAACCGAAATTGGAACGGTAGCTGTAATTATCGCGCTCCTCGTTTTGATAGAATCGGTCGTGTAAAATTTTTCTTATACTCGTGTTGAAGAAGTATTTCGCGAAAATGAATATTATCGTGAATATTTATGAATTATATCGAAGAAACAAGAATATGTTAGGAAATAAATAAATATTATTTGATAAAATTTATAATAAAAATGATAAAATACTCGGAATACTCGTGAATTTTTCTTATTCGTACGTTTAAATATGAAAGAAGTATAAAGAACATAAATTGTTAGAAATATAAATTTATCGTATAATTAGTATCTTCGTATGATAAATTGTTTTGAAATTGTAAAAAAATTGTATTCGAAGATTTTTTTAATAAAAATAAAGAATTTGTTGAAACTAAGATCTATCTAAACTCATGCGTTTTCGTAGGACAAGTTTCCCCGATTCCGCGACGGCCACCAGTATGCTATATAACTTTCTCGACATCGAATTTCTCAACTCGACAAATACTATTTCGCATAATACGTAACACTCTGTGTCACCGTAAAAAGGGCAATACATATGTGATACTACAGCCGTACGGAACAGTTTGTATCGTAACAGATTTTCCTGATTTATTCGGCCGCGTAGAAAGTGAATTCGCGGAGAGTGTACTCAAAGTTTACGTATTCGTTGCGCCGCAACAACAATCGTGAACGCGGTTTTCGAAATTGACGAACGTGATTTCTGAAACGCATCGTTGCGATAGAACGTTATCTCGATCGACGTTAATATCGATTTTTTTCTCTATATCGCGTGATGTATCGACAAGAAATAACTAGATAAAATTTGCTAAAGAAAGTATACATAAAATTTATATCATTACGAGGAAAATCCAATCGTTTCAATTTTGTCGGGGAAACGATATTTTCTTTGGCCTTACTTTGCATAGACTGTGCTGCCAGCGATTCCTACCGAAGATCTTCAATGTCACGTACGCGTCGATAACGTGAAAATCCGCGTGGGGACGCGAAACGCGCGTGCGGCAGGCATGGACGCGGCAACTTCGTGGAAAATTCGCGGAACTTCCCGGAAAGCAGTGAGTCGCGACAATTTCAACGCGTAACGATCGTTAAACGACGACATAGGGTACGTGCGTGAATGTGCGTAGAGCGAGACGGATGGACGCAATAAAGAGGCGAGCAACGGAGAAACGAGACGACGGAAAGACGCGGTGGAAGAGAGAAGGTTAATGTTGCAGCGAGATGGATAAAGAGAGAAAAAGTGCGCGACAGAGGCGGCATGTGTGAGAGAGAAACGGATAGAGAGACGGTCGACGGTGCGAGAAGGAAGTGCTACAGCACGCGACCTTCACGAAACGTCAAACGTCTATGCTGTTTAGCATGCAGGGCCGTACGATTGAAAGAGGTTTACCCTACGCTCTCGTCCTGAATTATCTTTCTTCTTCCCCCCGCGGGAACTAAACTATCACAAATTGCTGTTCACAAATTCGAGATTCGCGGTACTTTTCGAGTCGTAAGGAAAATCACATTTCCTCGCGATATTAATTTCGTGTGATGTAACGAAATGGCGAATGAGATTTCTGACAAACGAGAAATCATACGAGTTTTAGAAGGTAACAACAGATGTTGATCGACTTTATCATTAACGGACAACTGGTCTCGCGTGTCAGTTAAAATTGAACTGATCGTGGGCGGGCGAGCACGAGTCACAGGAATTTCGAACTGTCAATAAACAGACGTTTCGCGAAGTGATTTCAAGATGCAGAGAAACGATGCGATAACATGACACGCGAGATCAATCGTTCGATTCTCGTGGTTCGAACGAGAATAATCTAGTTTATTCCCCGTGAAAATTCTTCCCTATTTGACATTTAATTTTTCCAATTTTTATTTTTATTTATTTATTTATTTATTTATTCATTTTTTTTTGATCGCTCACCCAAAAAGCAATGCTCACCAATCGCCCACTTGACTGGCATCGTCCTCCAAAAATCTCGGCTTACTCTTCCGACGCACGTGTGATATTTTCGTCCCGCCGTTGGCGGCTCACGGAACACGCACTCTTTGCCTCACGTTTCGCTTCAACACCAATCGAGACTCGTTTCGGACAAATCACGGCCGCCTCGCGTTCTTTTCCTCGTTCGATCCAGCATGTTGTTCGTGATTCATTTTTTTATACATAACATCTTGTTTTGCAACGAACAATAGTAAACTCACTTGTCGCGTGCTTGATTGCGCTGCCAAGTATAGGTTAGGTAGCTCGGTAGGTTAGAAAGCTTATAACATACTGCCAACATTTCGGAAGCTGTCACCGCTGATATTTCTCTGGCTGTCGGTGCAAAATACATCGTTGTTGCGTTGACGAGGTGTTTACGCTGTCTCACAATGCATATTGCCGACGCACTTTTCGATCTTTCACTCTCCGATCTTCGACACTTTGCTCGAATCGCGTCCCGGTCACGAAATTCCACGGGAATCTTCCTTTACGTCAATGCTGGTTTTAATCAGTGACACGATCGACCGACGTTGCTTTCACGAGTGCGTTTAACTTTTGTTTACTTTTCTCCATTCGAACACGCCATTCTGCCCCGATATACTTTTTCGATTGATTCGCGTCACGCTATATACGACCGGAATATGTATACTTTTTACCAATCGACGAATAATCGACGATGAAATATCGATAGTATCGCACACTGTCGAAGCGATCGGTTACGTTATTCACTTTTCACTTGTCACGTGTCTTCATGTACCGATGCGCGGCGTAACGAATTTTCCCTGCCCAGCCTATCGCTCGTGCCAAAAACGTTTCGAATCGGTTTTCAGAGCGTTTAAAATGATTCACGCGTGTTAATTAGTACGGACGATTTAATCGCGACCATGTACATCATAAACACTTTGATGACACAGACAAAGAACGCTCGTATCGAAAGAAGTGAAAAACTTGTCGAATCATAAGACACCGTTCGCGTACGAATTCTTAAAAAATGATTGCCAAAAGTTAAACAGCACAAGGTCGATCAACGTCGAATGTGGTTGTTATACGTTGCAAGAAACGATTCACGATACACTGATGTACGCGCCACGATAACTGTCAACCGTGGGATTTCACGTGTCTCGGGCGCGCTGTTCCTACGACAGAGACGTTCTCATGGCAAATCCAATGATCTGGTCGTGGATGCAAAGTGCGTGTTCCGTGTCCTGCCGTGCTTTTGTTTATTTTTTTTTCGCGGATCAAACGATGAGACAGAAGAAAATCGTAGCTGACGCGGTGCTTTTTATCCCTCTCTTTTTCGTTTCTTTTCTTTCCGCTTTTTCTACGAATATCGCTTGTGACAGCAAGCAGCAGCGACGACAACAACAACAACAGTAGCAGTAGCAGCCAGTGTCGTGAAATGTAACAGGAACGGGCACGAACGAGGAGAAAAAACTTCTTCACACCCCCGATAAAGTGTTTCGTCGTAAAAATTGAAAAAAAAAAAAAAAAGAAAACGAGAAACGTGTATCACAGATCGCTGCCGATAATTTGCACGCACTTGGAGCCACGAATTCGTATGGACACTCGCATAGAAATATTTACCTTGCTACATGTAAAATGAATAGAGAGCCTGCCTGAATCGAACGAAGGAAGGCTCAACCGGCCCACTGTGACGTCGCCGGCCTACTGTCAGCTCAGCGCTCGCTCGGCCCCGCGGTCAACTAACCTACCGTGTTCGCCGCGCAGACTTTACCGACAAAATAAATCGATTCGGCACCGCCCACGCGCATAATTCATCCACGATAAATCCTAACTGATTGTATAACTATTTTACGTGTAAATTTCATATTGATATCATAATTTTACAAATATATAATGTCGTTTCAGTCGCTCACTTGACTAGCGTAGTAGTCAGGTGTGAAACGCTCACGCGCACAGCCACACATACAGAGACGGCGCACGTTTCCCTCGCAGATCTCGCGATTCGTAGAGCCATAGGCGTCGTTGGACCAAAAAAACTCTGTTCATCGTGTTAAAGGTGGGAGGTGAGACCATGTAAGAATATCAAACGCATTGACATCTTAAGCAGTAAGGAAGGTAATTATTTCGGATGTACTTTGTCACACGGTTGGCCTCGAAATTAGAAATTTCGTACAGTGTGAACTGGCGTAGCTCGAATTTACGTGCGCGATAGACAGAGAGAGGTGGAAGAGAGGGAAAGAGAGAGTCAGAGAGAGAAAGATAGTGCGAGACAGAGAGAGATAGCGACAGCGCGTGTGCGTGTATACAAGAAGAAGAGAGATAGAGATTGAAAGATAAAGAGATGCATCGACGGAACAGATATTCGCATGCAATTCTGCCCCGATTTGTCACAGGTATTTTCCCCTTCTCCTTTCTTTTGTTACATCGCCTATGCGATGTCGACTCGAAGAAAATTTATATGTAGATTTTGTTTTTCGTATTAAATTCGATAGTTTCGCAGATTTTCAAACGCTATCAAAAAAACATTCTTTTTTTCCCTAACCCCAATTCTCAATTTCTTCAAATTCGTATTGAATAAAAGTTTATTTCCTAACCTCTTTTAAAAATCCCTCTTATCGTATTCGTGAAAAAAAGCAAATTTTTTTTTGTATATAGGTATCAAGAAAAGAATTGAATAAAGCGTAATACTACAGAGAATCATATCAGAATTCCAAAGGGGCCTCGAATGCGCGACACGTGCGACTTCGAATTAGAAAAAGTAAACACGCGTTCGGCCAGGTGGCGCGGAATGTCGTTGCTACATCGATGAGCAGTTTTACGCGCACAGGTACTTACTTACATATATTTTTCGTGCAATATAGTTGTTACGATATGTATGACTATATAGATTCTTAGGTAATACTAATTGCGTCCGACTGTCGACTACATCCGTAAAGCTCGCGGCAGCCGCGTGCGTGTCGAGAGGGCGCGCGCGCGCGCGCGTGTTGCTAGCGAGCCAGCTCGCAAGATCACGCGTCTATATACGCACACGTGTACTTGCACACAGATGTACCGCTGCAGGGAATAATTTCATTGTAGCTACTTTAATGCGATCGTCGCCGATAAATTATTCCTAGGCTGATAGCTCGTGATCGCCGCTGTAAGAACCGGAATTTACTGCGAGTCGTGCCGACTCGGTTTAAACGCAAATCCATCGTGCAAATTGAATTGCCTCAATGTAAATAGTTTCTTCATCCGATGAAAGAAGGCCGAACAGTGGCACGTTAACACGCGTAATACTCCTTTGACTATTTTTTTAATGACGTTTCTCGACCGATCACGATGCATTATTTTTTTCAACGCTTTTTTGCATATTGCTAAATATAGGTTAGAATGTCAAAATAATCGTACTTGCGATATTTTTTATATTTTTTTCTTGAACAACTTTTGAAGTGTTTAACAAATTGTATCTAGCCTGGAGGCTAGTTGTGCATAATATTCCTTTTCAAATTTTTGTTGCGTTGTATGTATATATATATATATATATATATATATATATATATATATATATTATT